CACTCAAGTTGGAACACCAGGCCCCCGTGGTTGCCCCTGTCTGCTTGACATCAAGACATCTTGTGTCCGGACACAGCACATACAGGACTCAAAACCTGGACTGTCCAGGTCTGTGTGCCTGCAGCCTGTCAACCTCTCTCCTCTTGTGTGACTACATGTTGTACTTTATTTGAAAAAACTGTGTTCTGGGAAGAAACACACCAATCACTATCTTGAAGCTGGTTCTGTTTCAGGCTTCCATTCACACCTGAGCAAGCTGATACTTGTTTCCCAATGTCCAGCAACACTCAACATGAAGAATCCCATTATTTTCAGTGGTGCCCCTATAGACCCAAGTGTTGTGCCGCCTGCCGCTTGTAGCATGAAGCCCTGAAAAGTAAATAAGTTTCCTTTCAGGCATTTTTTGCCTCCATAGACTTCATTGGGAATGGCTGAAAAATACCTGAAAACTGTACATAACTTGTGTGTGTGATTTCCTCCCTAACAAGTGTTTCCTTTTCCTAGGAATTAGCTTTCCATTGGCTAAAACAAAAATGCTCACGCCTAAAAAAAATAAAAGAAAGGCTTAAAAATCACCTGAAAACGCTCACACTCAAGTGTGAATGGGGGATAAAGGGTGATGACCTGTCCTTTGTGAACGGTGGGATGTGGAGTGGACCTGTAAATAAAACTGAGAAAGATACAGCCCATTTCTCTGGTAGACGGGGCTGTGCTGTCTAACAGAGCTGTATACATTTCCGGACTGGATAGACAGAATTACAATTTCTTTGTCAGGTAAAACAGGTCCTGTATGTGTATTCCATCTGTCTACTAAACACTTTTTGAGGTTCAGTTTGAAATCCATTTCCCTCTTTTGTTTGCTTTTTTTCTTCACTCACAGCTATCTTTAGCAACAAGCGATGGTTGGCCAAAGTCTAATCTGTGATAATGTAACATTAGCTCCAGATGGGGCTCACCTCTGTCCTACCTCTATCTTCACCATAACATACTGACAGTAAATGTTTCTGCTGATTATTCTGCCTGCAGGCTGCATGTTCTGCTACAATAAACTGTGCAATCCAGTCTATGTGATCTTCAGATTTCATTATTGTGTTGTCTTTGTAATCAAGACATGTGACATGAGTATTTGAACCAGTTGCATGTGCGACCGGGCCCTGGCGCCCTCTCACTTGGGGGAGCAGGAGGGGCCAGAAAGTAACCGCTGAGGTGCCAATATTGCTTCCTGGGACTACAGCTCCCAGCATACAGCAGGCCAATGCTCTACAGCTCCCTCCCACAGTGTTTGATACTCACACCACGTTCTACCCAGTAAGCATCAGCTCACTCAATATACTCTGAGAGGAGATTTGCCTCTGCTTGCTCACTACTCCATATACCCTTAGAGGGGGCGGGAGGAGATTTGTCTCTGCTTGCTCACTACTCCATATACCCTAAGAGGAGGCCGGAGGAGATTTGCCTCTGCTTGCTTACTAACACCACTCTAATCATGCTTTTTTTTATAGACGGCCCTTCATGGCTTCTTGCACCGAGCCCTGAGGTTTATAGTTTTGCCTCTGTGTATTTGGCTTTGCTATAGGAAATTATTTCTGTACTCTTAGCAATACATGCAGTAAAAATCAGGAAGTTTCAGGGAAGCCGAGCTAAGAGAATTGGAGCTGTTCTGAAACATGATGAAAGCCCATCTTGTCTTGATTTGTATTGCAACTGTAATGTCCTCCTTATATTGCACAACACTGCACACACTGTTGGCGCTATATAAATCATGAATAACAATAATAATAATACAAATATAATAATAACAATAATAATAATGACTGTGCTTGGGCAAAAATGTAAATAAATACTTTGCTGGGCAATGTATATTTGTTTGATCTGGATTCATAAAAAAAAACAAAAAAGATGAATACTACTTTACGAAAGGTTGGTAAAAATGGTTCATGGACCTGAAATGGAACAACAAGTTTTAAGAATTAAAAAACACAATTACCAAAAATACCTCTTATTTTTTTTACAGTTTTTATTATTAAGACTCAAATTAAAAATCTCTGGGATTCGACTTGTGCAAAATAATATCACCAGTTATACAATGGGGAAACAAGTAAGTCAACAAACGCACATAATAATAAACATTATACATATACAGCATGAAACTGATCAAAAGAAAGTCTCATGTGTGCGGTACAAGCTGACCCCACTGGCCGACCGTACTATAAAGGAAAGACCATTTTATCATTCATCTTCTGGGGTCTCTGGTGGAGAATCAATCACTTGTTATTTGAAGAACTCAACCGTCTCCAACCAGGAAACTCGCTTCACCTCGGTCAGAAAGAAAACTCGCTTCACCTCGGTCAGAAAGGAAACTTGCTTCACCTTTGTAATACTGCTGAACATTGTCATTAGATAAAACTCCTCCAACCTCTTCCACAGTCATCGACATTGGATACAAGTCAAAGCCTGCCTCTCCCTGTGCACTGTGAGCATAGAGAATAAACTCATGTCAACTCTAAAAGCAGAAAGTATTAACCCGTCCCAAAGGATTGGGTATGGTGCAACTATCACCTAATGTCTATGGCTCGCTAAAGTATTTTAATTACATAATTTAGTTCCATTTATACTTGAGCTGAGCGTCTTTTGGTGTTTTATTTGGGTGATTTTTTTTAGCGTTTGTACAACTTTTATTAAGAAATATAAAATATACAGCGCAAACCATACCGGTGACATCCGACATCTAGTGCAGCATCGTCAAGTGCAGTGACACAGAGCTATATTTAGTACTGTTAATCAGAGCAGGTGCAATTATAGACATCATAATCATAAAAGTAAGAATATTCCAAGTGCCTGGAAATCGATGACTACAGATAAAATCTAATGAGGGTCGTAAAATCGATATTGGGCACTTTATTCCAGGATGAGAAGGTCTAGAAATAAAGAGGTGTTGCAGGTGGAGGAGATAGCAAAGACTGTAGTGGGGGTTGGGGGTAGGTAAAGGGTAGGGTGGAGGGAGAGCAACACAAGGGGGGGGGAGGGGGGGTAAGGGGTATGGAAGAGAGCAGGAAGGAGCAATGGACCGATCAATTTGTTCCAATAAGGGTGCACAGTGTAAGAGAGACAAAGTCAAACTACATTTTCAATTTCAGAAACGGAATATATATGCAATGAGCTGCTCGTAGTGGCAATTGAAGGAGACTTTATGGAAAATTTCAGATATGGATGGGATATGGGGGGAACGCCAATTGCGGGCTATAAGGATTGTAGCTGAAAACAAGATATGCATGACAACAGATCTATATTGAGTTGCATATCTATCAACAGAGATACTTAAGAGTGCTGTCTCAGGTGACAGTGGGGATGTAATACCTGAAAATTTGGTCAGGAGCCTAGAGATTGAGTGCCGATACCTGTCAAATGTTTACAGAACCAAAAAACGTGAGGTAGACTACCCACTTGGTCGCAATTTTGCCAGCAAAAGGGGGAAAGTGTACAGGAATTTTTTATGAGTGTTCCGGCCTTTTTTTTAAAGTCTTTTTTTTTATTTTTAACCAATACAAAACAAATTACTAGACAAAAAAAGCTTGATAAATATATTTGTTTGCACATTTTTCAAGTGTTACTTTTGAAGTCTTTTCTGGTCAAAAAGCTTGACTCTGCTGCAAAAGAAGTTCATGTACTTTTTAGAGCTACAGGCATTTTGCTTCAAGCAACAGAATGCTCATATGTGAACAGGGGACATTGGAACCAATGACATTCATCCTGTTGAGCTTTGTAGCACTTAGGCATTCAAGTCACAAAATGCCCAGGTGGGAATGGAACCCTAAGATGGCCATACACCAGGGACCTTAAGATGGCCATACACCAGGGACCTTAAGATAGCTATACACCAGAGACCTTAAGATGGCCATACACCAGAGACCTTAAGATGGTCATACACCAGAGACCTTAAGATGGCCATACACCAGAGACGTTAAGATGGCCATACACCAGAGACCTTAAGATGGCCATACACCAGAGACCTTAAGATGGTCATACACCAGAGACCTTAAGATGGCCATACACCAGAGACGTTAAGATGGCCATACACCAGAGACCTTAAGATGGCCATACACCATACACCAGAGTTCCAGAGCATGGGAGACACTCTTAAAAAGTCCTGAAGGCATGCATGGGAGGAGGTGACAAGAGAGCTGGAGAGCAGGAGGTCTTGGGAAGAGCAAAGAGGGCGGTTTGGGTGATATTTTTAGATGAGGTGGGTGGTGTAGGTTGGAGCGGAGTTGTAGATGGCTTTGTAGGTTTTTGTTAGTATTTTGAATTCTATACGTTGGCGAAGTGGGAGCCAGTGATATAACAATCAACAGGAGCCATGGAACAATATTACCATTGACATATTTACAAATGTCTCAGAATAAGTCAGACACCAGCTGCAGTTTTTTTTCCTACAAAATATTTTATTGGTTCAACAGTTTTAGAAAAGAGGAGTAATATCTCTCTCTATACTGCATGTACGTTGTCACACATGCACATGAGTTACAGGTCTACAAATGAAAAGAACACAGAAAGGGTGTATAGCATAAATTTAGTATAGGGCAGGGAAGGAGCTACATGAAGTCTATAGTACCAGTATGAGAAAGAAGACAAGACACAGTGTATTGGCTCTCAGGCACTTGGAATGTCACTATCTCCTTCACGTGCATATACAAATTACCCATAATTCATGAGGTTTTATGTATCAATAAAGCACAAGGCAACCTAACTCCAAAATTTCCCATTACACCCCGTCAGCAACTTAATACATTCTAAATACAATGCTTATTGTGTATCCTGACCCTTTATGCATGTGCAGACTCTTCAAGAATGCCCAATGGGAGATAGTATAAGTCTCGGCCAAAGGGAAATTGTTAACACAAAGGAAACAAACATGAATACAGCAGATGTTTGAAAAAATATATTTCTGCCGATTCAGAACACTTTATTTTTGTCTCTTATTTTTGGATAGAGGAGATGTTTCTATGCTGACGTAGCTTAGTTTGTTCTACATTGGTTAAATATACATATTAGCTGCGAGATACTGCACAAAGTTGGTAAGGTTTTGGTCCATGAGTTCCTGCCTCTGCTGGTTCAAGGTCTATCTCAGCCCCGGGGAGAGCCTGGAAGGTGAAGTTCTGCATTAGGGATGTGAAGAAGAGGAAAAGCTCCATTTTGGCCAAAGTTTCACCAGCACAACTTCTTTTACCTAGAAAGAGTACACAACAAGGGTATATTACAGATAAATCAACTTTAACTGCATTGTTCAGTACTTGTGTGGGCATCTGTTGCTCTGTAAGTTGTCAATTAGGCATACATAATAATAAAGATCAGCTGAAAGCAACTGGAAACCCTTGATGAAGATCAATTCTCATAGAAAAGAAAACAACATAACAGCAATCCTATTGCAGCAAGCTTTCATTTTGGCTCCTGGGTTAGACAGCAACTGGTTGTAGTCATTCATCTCCCCTCATTCTAACACTGACCCCACACATGGCCTATTTCTAAAGAATTTACAGGATGTTCTCTCTGTGAATATCTGAGAATGTTCGTTCTGTGCAGATATATGCCAAAATGATCGTTCTTTAGTTGTTTCTTTACAAGGGAATGTATTTTTGAGGGGGTTATTCACAAAGGAGCCACAGGATCCAGCTGTAGCTTCAGGCTGATCCTTTGGTTCTCTTTGGCCGCTGGGGGCTATTTACAATAGCCCCTACAGCAGCCGAAGGCAGCCGAGCGGCTCAGCCAAGCCTAAGGCATTTGATTTGGCTCCACCGAGCCGAAGTGACAACCGAAGCGGGCCGAACGCCTTGCAAATGGCGGCTGGGCGGAGTCATCTGTGATCTCACGGCTGGCTGCAACTAGTTGTAATGACAGATCAGTGTCCCCAAATTAGCTGGGGATGCTGAACTGTCATTAAACAATGACAACTGGGCAGAGCCGGCCAGGACGGCTTGGCCAGCCCCGCCCAGTTGATATTCATTGCTAGCTCTGCCCGGTTGTTAATATTTTTTTTCAATCTTTTTTTTTTTTTTAGATTTAACATTTATTTACATTTAAAAAAATATTTTTTCAACTTAATTGTTTGGTTTTTTTAAACTTTTTTCATTGAATTGCTATTCTGCTCGGTACCACGGAGGTACCGAGCAGAATAGCAGAGCCAAATGTTATTCACTCACTGCCGTTAGGCCGCTATGTGAATAGGGGCGAACGGCAGCAAGTGAGCTGTCGGAGCTTCGGCTCAGCCGATCCAGATGTTGTATGGGCTGAGTCAAAGTCATTCTGCACTTCGGCCCCTATGTGACCCCTATGTGTGTGGTCAGGGTTAGAATGATGGACGATGAATAAAGGCCCCATAGTAATAAACTTACAATCTGTCATAGATTTGATTGTGTAAAACAAGAGATTGTTTGACACAATAATAACAAGACTGATTTTGTCTAATTTGAATCATTTTTTCATTAAAGGAGATTGTCCCTTTTCCATAGAAATGATCAATCATGAATCAAAGTGATCCAACATGGCAGTGCAATTGATTTCAGGAAGATGTAATATTTTCAGTAAAACGATAGTTATTTTGAACAGTTGCATCATTCATGAATAAGAAAGCATGAGATAGCGAGTAGCCTACAATGGGAGAAAGCAATACCAGATCAGCTCAGGTATCTGAAACTTTTTGGAAGTGATGAAAACTGCTGTGTATCCTGTCCAGTTATTTAAATTCCCATCATTACATACTGATAAGATTTACCTATAGAGAATGGGATGAAGGCGTCATTCTTTTTGAAATGTCCTTCTTCATCCAGAAAGTGCTCCGGATAGAACTCAAAGGGTTTTTCAAAATAGGCTTCATCTCTCAGTACTGTGTACAGCGATGGGAACACAGTGGTGCCCTGCAAGAATAAAACTGTGAATCAATAAATAAATACATATATATATAATAGACATGTAAGCTGCGGAAACATTTGGTTCGGATATTTCGTTATTTTGCAATTCGGCATTCGGATCCAAAATTCAATTCAGTTCTGTTTCGGATACGGCCAATATCCGAATTTTTGTTAGTTTCGGATGAGTTTACGAATGTTCGTTGCGAATACCACAGAAAACCACATACAGATATTAATACCAAAGCTGAATCTCCCAGACCCGAATGGCATTCAGGATCCGAATTTCCGAATTGCATTTGGGAGCTCCTGAATATTACTAAAGATGAGGCTTCCAGACCCAAATGGCATTCAGGAGCTTCCAAATGCAATTCGGAAATTCAGATCGCAAATGCCATTCGGGTCTGGGAGCCCTATACATATGTTACTTAAAGGAGAACTATGAGGTGAGTGATTTTCACTCAACCTCATAGTTCGAGCCGACGTGTGACAATGAGACTGTCACAGGTTGGCTCAGTAGATCGGGAGGTGAGCGAACACATACTGTCGCTCGCTCACTTCTCGATCATGTCCCTGCAGAGAGTATGTAGCTAGTGATATACTGAGCTTTGGGTCTAGGCAGGGCGCTAGTTTTTGTCCTCCTGTGACCCCTAGGAGAACTATGAGGAAAAACACTGACCCCATAGTTCTCCTTTAAAGCTGAGGCTCCCAGACCCGAGTGGCAGTCAGGAGCTCCCGAATGCAATTTGGAAATTTGGATCTGAATGCCACAAGAGGGGATTTCCCTCACATTGCAAAGATATCATCTTACTTTCTCATGAGTCTACTTGGATCGGTGGTTATTTTACAACACACACAGGGACCATGGGGAACAAAAGTAGCCCCCCTCCAGAAGGAAGGACAGTGTCAGCACCAATTCAGAAATGATTGGAGGATCTGCAGCCGAGTGATAGACAAATAAGATTGTTGTTCATAGTTGAGGTACTTGAATGTATTTTTAGGATTTACCTCCAGAGTTTAGTGTCACTTTAATTTTTACAAATGAAGGCTTTTAATGCGTCTAACCAGATTTCTTCAGATCACTGTCCTTATTCTGCTGCTTTCTGCTTTAACACACTGGGAGGAATTTATCAAAACTGGAGCAGACAGAAACTGGAGCATTTGCCCACGGCAACCAATCAGCATCTCTCTTCAGTTTGCACAGTTCAGATTTGAAAATTAGAAATATAAGCTGATTGGTTGCAGTGCAAATCTGCTCCAGATTTTGTCTGCTCCAGTTTTGATAAATTCCCCTAATTATATTTTGTCCTGTGACACTCTTGGCCTGAGAGCTGCTGAAGATTTAACCTGTACAACATAATTACACCAATAGCTATTGAATGTTAGAAAATAAAAATATGTAGTCACCTTTGGAATGAAATATCCTCTAAATGTGACATCTTGAGTAGTTTCATGTGGAGCCCCATCTGGTACAATATCCCCAAACCGCTGGATCTCATGAATCACGGCATCGGTGTAGGGCATTTGCTTCCTGTGCTCTGCTTGAGGTGGAACCGTGCCAATAATGCTATCAATTTCATTTTGAACTTTCTCTGCCGAGGAATAGATACTGTTAAAATGGCAATAGAATTATGATTATTTTAGGCAAATTTAGATATGCATAGGTCACCAACTAGATGAATTTCAGCCAAATGGAAGCCCAACTCTAAGCAAAAGTGAACCCACCTCACACACACCTCTCACCCATTCTGTACATTTTTTTCTTACATCCTACAGCATGTTTTCCCCATCTAAGTCTGCAGTTCAGGTTTGTTGCCAGTGCCTTTTCGGTTTGCAGGGGACCAGTAATCCAGCGCTGCAGATGTACCCCTGCTGGTCAGTCGCCAATGGTCCCCTTACACTAATGTCAGTGCTGAAATTTTTCTTCTGGCTCTTGAGAGGACTTCACCACTGGACAGCTAATAGGAAATCTCCATGTGAGGCAGGCACATGTTGTGTTAAAAGAAGATTCACTCTGGAGCATCATGTGACCCGGGATTTAGTTAAAAGGGCATTCAATGCCATGAATTAGTTAGGGGTGGGTGGGGAGAGGGGTGGCGGAAGCCCAGACATGCTTTAAGGATGAGCTACAGACAGATGTTTAAACAAATTGAAAACTTCCACTTATCTCACTGGTTACAAAATTGGGAAGGAAACAAAAGATGACGGGGGTGATTTGCTCAAATGTACCTCCTTTCATATTAGCTCTGATTGCAGCGAATTACATGCTTGCAAGTAAGCCTGTGTTTAGATCATCATGGTTGCTGCCTTTACTAACTTACTCTAAAATGATCATTGCTTGACCCTCTTGCTTGAGTACTTTAATATAATCTGCAATTGGCCCAGAAGAAGAATGCAGATTAGTACATTCTAGCCAGTAGCCCAAAGCACTGAAGCCATATAGTCAGCATTACATCTGGTACATCAGCATTTTCAGAAAGAGATCAGTAATAGCCATCTGCCTGACATCTCCACACAAATTAGAAAAGCCTAAGGTGCTTTTGTAGGCCTCTGTAACATATGGAGTTCAAACCGAATTGGTCTTCGTACAAAGATTTGAATCTTGAATTCTAATGTGAAATCTGTGCTGCTTTATGCAAATGAGACATGGAGAGACTCATGGTTTTTGTAAACAGCTGCTGCGATACATCATTCAGGCCTGGTGGCCACAAAATTGGATCTCTAATAGCTTCTCTGATGGTGCCATCAAAGATCGGTTGCAACAGAGATCCGAGAGTGTAAATGGAGATGGATTGGATATACTTTACGAAGGGGCGCAAATGAAATCTGTAGACAGGTGCTCGATTGGAATCCCCTAGGACAGTACAGGAGAGGCAGACCTAGAGGCTCCTGGCAGTGCAGCCTATATGATGATATTAAGGTTGTTGACGTGAACCTGACCTGGCTGCAGATCAAAGCAAAAGCTGGGAACTATCAACAGTGGAAGTCTTTAATTTCGACCCTATGCTCCTCAGTGGAGCAGGATATATGACTAACTGACTAACTGACTAACTAACTAACTAACTAACTAACTATCTGTCTGTTTCTTTCATGCCAGGTTTTCTTTAATGCAAACCTGTCAACATTCTAAAAAAATAGAAATAAATGTCTCAGAGTGGACATCAGAAAATGTCTGTCAGTACATTAGCCCGGAAAACATCTCCCCTGTGGATCTGTAAAACTAGCTGTACTTCTTTACTAAGTGCCTGACTTCAGGAGTTTTCCCCTGCCCATTGAGAGCTTTCTCTTTAACCCCATCATGGCACCTACATTGGACAAAAGGATGAAAGGTGGAAGAGATTAGTCTTGTGGTCACAAAAGAGAAACTAGTATCTTCTAGTTACAGGAGGCAGAGTCCTTCTTCTGGTGTCCACGTCACTGTCTGTGTGATGTGGACACTTCCTATTGGCTGTGCAGGGGTGGGTCTTCTTAGTATCCATAAGAGGAGACTCAGCGGTGACTTCAGCACAAAGGGACCTTTGGACACCCAGTTAGGGGACTTAGGTAAGTCAAACGTGCTTTACATAGTAAGAAAAAAAAATCCACAGCGGAAAGGGTGAGAGGAAGTGGAAAGGAGCTGTGGTAGCGGGTGGTGGTGGGTGGGGACTGGTATTTTTTCACCAGATGAGCTTAAAGTATGAAAAAACAAAATATCAAACTTGATTTCTTACTTTGTATTTCTGGATATTTCATCATTAGCAGTATTGCCCATCTCATCGTGGTGGTGGTTGTCTCCATTCCAGCAACAAAAAGATCGCTCACCAATGCGGTTAAGTTATCATTGTGAAAATACTGCGTGGATTCTGTTTTTCCCTAAATAAAGGAAAAGTAAATCACGAATGTAGTATATTAGAATATACGTAAATAATTCATGAGAGTTTATCTGAGAGCACAAGTATCTGCGGTGGTGGGTGCTAACTTATGTACAGTAGCTAACTAGTATGTTCTCAGTATTTATAGATTTCATCTTAAACGCCATGCTGCAGTCTATTTCAGTCTCTTATAAAATGTGTTATTTGATATTAAAATGATATTAAACATTTTTTTTTGTTTTTCCTTTACGTGGACCCTCCTTTGCTGGAGGCTGTTGCTGGTTTTCTTTAAAACTGTTTAATTCCTCGTTTTCTAATGGGTCCCCGCAGCACTCTTCCCCCCTGCCCCCTGCACGGGTGCCACCATCGTTCTAATGGAGGCACTTGTGCGCGCTCGTGCCCGCAGTGGCTGTGTGTGTCCATAGACACACACAGCCCTGTGGCAGGCCATGCCCCTTCCCTCGTTGATTGATGGCAGAAGGCGCCTATGGCTCCTCTGCCATCAGCATCCTCCCCCCGCAACCCGGAAGTTCGGGGAACGGAGGATCGCTTCAGGACTGGCAGCGAGGACGAGCGTGGCTGACAAGTAAGTGTGGGGTGGACTGGGGGGGACTGAGGGAGAAAAAAGGTGCTGGCCCGTTTTTACCCTAATGCAGATAATGCATTAAGGTAAAAAACGCCCAGACCTTACTACTACTTTAACTACCAGCAAGTTGCCTTATATGTCTTATATTTATTTGCAGGCACTGAGGTTCAAAGTTCAAAGGCATCTTCGTTGCCCAGCTTTCATAGCCACCATACTCTGACTAATCTAATAATTGTACTTTTAGACCGATAAGTACTTTGAAGATCATTTCTAGATCTTTTATTCTTAATCTTCCATGGGCCGGTCTGTCATATTTCTTATCTGATGGATCTTTTTTTGTTAATACTTGAACCAAGGAGGCAGAAGCTGTCTACTAGTTCTGTGACTTATTCATCAAGTTTGAAGGTAGCTGTCCCTGTTTTCATAACTTAGTTTTTCATTATAGTTAGCTCAGGTCTCGTCCTTTTGCTCTGCTCTTTAACCTTCTCTTTGAAGTCCTTCTACATTTTCTGCTGTGAGCATTGTTTCATCAGCAAATGAAAGATTGGTGATGTTTTCCCACCAGTCTTGGGCTCTGTAAATGTGATTGCATGCATGCAGCAGAACCCGTTAGACAAGTGGAAAGTATTGACTTGTGAGTGGATGATAAATGACAATTGATAAACATGGTAATATTTTTGTTATCTCTAGGCATGGTTTGTATTACATAGTTACATAGTTACATAGTATTTGGGGTTGAATAAAGACATACGTCCATCAAGTCCAACTCATATAGGTCCACGCATCATCTCATATTAAAGTGCAGCTGCCAGGTAAAAATTAAGCATGATAGGAAGGCGCATGCGCGTGGGTGCCGATGGTGGACGTGTTTTAAGTCGGCTCAGCAACCCCCTCCGGCACCCTGCTTCTTAGCACGGAGCTTTGTGCTCCTCAACCTACCAGCCTACTCCCGCTGCTTCAGCTAGCTCCTGGCTTCCCCACCATGCCTCATTCAGGATTCTGCGGGTCCCAGAAGCTTAAAAATAAGCTGATCGTGGAGGCGCTTGCCTGGGACATTTAAGGAGTGAAAATGATCCTGTAGGTTATGCTATTCTAACATTCATGATCACAATACCCTTGTGGTGACCCAATGGCTTAGGGGTTAGAACTAAAGGCACCTGAGTCCCATGTTCAAATCCTAGCCCAGATGCCATCCACATGGGGTTTGCATATTCTCCCTGTGCTTGTGTGGGCCTGCACCAGGTATTCTGGTTTTCTCCCAAAGACCATAAAGGATTGTGGAAAGGGAAATACTGTATATTGCTTGTTGTAGCAATTCTGACATTTACTTGTCAACTGCTTCCTTTATCAAAGCAACTTTGATATAGTGGATTATACTCTGTAGGCTATGCTATTCCAGGTTTCATGATCCTACTATCTCTCTTTTCTTTCTTTTCTCGTTTCTTCTTTCTTCTCTCTTTCTTTCCCTTGTCTTCTTCTTTCTCTTCCATTATTTAGGTGCACACTTTATTACTAGGTTGCTGTTCTGGACTAGAGTCCCCTACGTAACCCGTGTGAATACCCACTGGCATCTCTTTAGGATCTCAATCACTTGGATCCTTGACCTGGAGTCTTCTACGATTACTGTCTGCAACTGGGACTCTATTCCTGCTTTAGTTTTACACCTGTCGTGCCGATTTGATTGCTTCTGTCTGATTTTATGCTGTGTACCTCCTTTTTTCTTTAATAAATATTATTATTGGTAAAAATTAAGCGTGATCATATTCATGCCATACATTCACCTAGAGGGAACTGAACATATCTTCAGTGCTCACCAATAAGACCCTCAAGTCTCACAAGCTTCTAAATTGCAGGTGTGAGCACTTCTTGGTGTGCTGAAGGCCAGTCGACCCCTCCCGCCTCCCACAACTTTCTATTGTTCTATCACTAGGATAGGTGGGCTCACTGGTTAAAGTTACACTAAACTCTAGTTAAATCTAAAACATGCAGTGAAATACCTTATTAACAAACATGTGCCATATTTGTTCATCACTCAGCTGTTGGCCCTCAAATCATCTCTGGCTTGGTGCTGACACTGTCCTTCCTTCTGGAGGGGGGCTACTTTTGTTCCCTATGGTCCCTGTGTGTGTTGTAAAGTAGCTACCACTCCAAGCTCATTCCTGTGATGGACTACAATCTCTCATTTAGTTTACTAATCTGTACTGAGATTGTAGTCCATCACGTGAGCGAGCTTGGAGCGTTGACTACTTTACAACACACACAGGGACCATGGGGAACACAAGTAGCCCCCCTCCAGAAGGAAGGACAGTGTCAGCACCAATTCAGAGATGATTGGAGGATCTACAGCCGAGTGATACACAAATAAGATACATTTTTGTTAATAGTTAAGGTACTTTAATGCATTTTTAGGGTTTAACTCCGGAGTTTAGTGTTACTTTATTACAAAGGTTTGGGAAGAGGTGGCTTGACCTTCAAAAAATGTACAGGTAAGTGAATAAATGATAAGTAAATGTATCATTATACCTGAGAATCTCCATTCTGGATATCAAACACTCCAGATCAGTTAACTCATCTCCAACTAAATGCAATCCTTACCTCTTGCTGCTTCACCAGGAAGGCATCAATAAGATTCCTCTGGTCATTTACATCTAGATTTTTCTTCTGTTTAGTAAACGTTCCTCTTATAAAATTTTGCATCTGGTTCATATTTTCGAAAATTTTATGGTGAGGTCCTGGAATCAGGTCGAACAATTTTGGAACGATATTGTACAGCTTTAAAAAGAAGACATAAATATGTATATAATTGAACACATACTATACAAACATAATATATTTATATAATTTAATAGAATGTGAAGGTTGAATGTAAGGAAGATACTGTAAATACTTCTCATGGTGATGGACATTTTTTTGAATAATGGAAGTATCACAATTAAATTGGACCTTCCATGGTGACAATAAGCAAATATTGTCCAAATACATTGTCTATTTTTACTCGAATCTTGATGAGCGTTATGTATTTATTCCAAATCTGTGCATTAACCTCCCTGGCGGTATGATTCTTTTCATTTTCGTAATTTTTTCGGCGCAATTTTTTTTCAGATTTTTTTCGTTATATTATTTTTTCGTTTTTTTTCGAATCTCCCGCCGGTTCCGCCCCCGTGCGACGCATACGTTTGCAAGGGACCGAACCCGGAAGACAGATGCCGGCGCCGGCCGGAGGACACCGCACGGCTGGAGGGACAAGGTAAGTAAATACTATGGGATATTCCTGAGTGTAGCTCAGGGTATGGAGAAGTAACCCCGAGCTACACTCGGGAATACCGCCAAGGAGGTTAATCCAGTGTGCTTCTTGAAATAAAGATCAATCACTGCTGCTCTCTTTCCTTGTGCAGGTGACTGGTCTTGTCTCTGCACCCCTAGTCTGTAGTTTCCTGCAGGCAGTCTATAATCTGTGGGACATGTTGGGTCCCTCCCACAGCTCTGATGTCTGCACAGACTATGCACAGCACAGTTATGATGTCACTGCTACTTTTACAAGGTAATATGTGTGTTTGTATAGGCATTTGGTGCTCACAAAATGGATTTATATTCCTGTGACTATTGAAAAATATAATTTAAGGCCAACTTCAGGTTAAAATTACCCCACTTCCCCTTCTCCTCATTAATTGCTTGGGTGAAAAAAGAGAAAAAAAAGACAAAGACTTTATAAGTCCTCTTTTTTACTTAACCAGTTGACATCCGCGGTGTTAAACCCCCTTCCCATCCAGGCCATTTTTCAGTATTCAGCGCTGCGGAAGGGGGGGGAAAAAGCACATACGCGAACGAGCACATATAGGCGATCGGCGGGCTATGGACCCGCTGATCGCCTATATGTGAAACACCCGGTACCGGGTGTTCGCATTGGAAGGGTCTTTTCTGCCCGTGCGTGCCCGCTAGGGGGCGCGCGCGAGCAGAAAAAAATTGCCGTCTGGAGACGGCAACCCGCAGATGCTGCAGTGCCGTCCGTCCGTTTTTTTACTACGGGCGGACGGCAAGAGGTTAAAAGAGAACTATGGGGTAAGTGTTTTTCCCCATAGTTCTCTTAAGGGTCACTGGAGGACATATACTATCATCCTCCCGTGACCCAAAGCTCAGTATATCGGGAGCTACAGCTACAGTTTCATTGTCACACGTTGGCTTGATCTATGAGGATGAGTGATTTTCTCTCACCTCATAGTGCTCCTTTAATTTGTGGTTATGTGATCATCCACAGCTGGGTCCTTCTCCTCTCTGTAGACTTTCTACTCTGGTCTAACTTTTGGGTGTCCACCTCACTGCCTGTGTGACATAGACAATTTCTGTTGGCTGTCCACTAGAGGGGTCCACTCTGGTTCCAGAATACTACTGACGTCGGCCCAAGGGGAATCAAGGGGGCTGGCTGGTGAAGGTTACTGTGTGGCATTCAATTAGCACTCCCCACCAGGGAAAACAGTGGCGAGGGACCTGGATTGGGGGACGTGAGTATAATTTTCTTCACCAGATAAGACAAATGAAGCACCTGGCAGGATAGGTTAGAGGGAGTGGGAGGAAGGGATGGTAGGGAGGGAGTTTTTGAGTGGTGTTGGGGTTTAAAGTGACATTAAACCCTCAGATTTTTTAACATAAAACAATACTGTAATGTGCGCCTTACTGTAATCCATGGTTGTTTCCCTTCTCTTTGCTGCTCTTCCTTTTAAATCTGTATCTGTTCTCATGCTGGGCAGAACTTCTGTTTTGCAGCAGACTGCCTTGTCTCTGAAATGGATACATGGTGTCTGTGTGTAGGTTTGCAACCTGAGCCAGCACTACAGGAAGAGGCACTCGGCGGCAAAGGGAAGTTCTCCCCCAGCATGAGAGGACATGAGGATTTAAAAGGAAGATCAGCAAAGAGAAGGGAAACAACCATGGATTACAGTAAGGCACACATTGCAGTATTGGTTTATGTTAAAAAATCTGAGGGTTTAATGTCACTTTAAATGAAAGTTTGTGTGTCTGGAATTTATTAACAGGTTTTCATCACTGGCTATAAATTAAAAAATAATGAATGCAACACATACATATACAGTATACAGTGTATGGAGAGCCATAAACTTTTGTTGTTGTGTTGATATGTCAGGTTTTCATTATTATCTAAGTCCCCGCTGGTGAGATTCACCCTCTCTGTTTGTCCCGGTGACATTCTGAACAGGTCAGAACTTGATGGGAAATGCAAAATCAGGACATCTGTTTTGGGAATTTGTATTCACTTCCTGTTATGTCTCCAAGTTAAAAACACAGATAGCAAACAACAAAACTTGACAAGGAGTTTAACCATTACCTACTGTATCCAAAACAACAAAAAAGGGTTTGCTCACAGATACACTCTAATGAAACTGAAAATTGTTCTGCATACACAATCTATTCCGGTATGTTTGTCAGTGTCTTGGATTGCGGATTACTTTTTAGAAAGTCTTCAGTGGTGACCAAACAGCAAATCAATTTAGAACAACTCTTACCCACACATGCAAAAGAAGCAACTTACCCGAGCGTAACGAGAACCCATAAGCTTTATGTTTTCATTAATCAAACCCATGAGCCTCAGTATAGTGGGATCATCATAACTGAATCGGTGACCAAGCAGTATAGAGATGATTATATTGGCCACTGCAGCATTAAGGATGGTCAGAATATCAAAAGGTTTTCCTAGAAATAAAAAAGAGCCATGAAAAAATTTCACACAAAATACATGAATTTCCAGCTCCCTCGTCAACTCCTTCCTCCAGGACTTCTCTAGAGTCTCTCCCATTCTCTGGAACTCTTTACCCCAACCTGTCCGACTGTCTCCCACTCTGACTGCGATCCCTTACGGCTCATCTCTTCAGGGAAGCCTATCCCACCTCAAACTAACCACTGAACCATCACGTTCTCAAACAATTCATCCCCACACAGCTACCTCCTCATGTATCCCTTTTAGATTGTAAGCACTCAGGGGCAGGGCCCTCCTTACCATCTTGTATTTAATTATATTGTGATTGTAATGTCTTCCTTATATTGTAAAGCGCTGCGCAAACTGTTGGCGCTCTATAAATACTGTATAATAATAATAATAATGAATGATAGACTAAAGAGTCCAATTATCTACGTTTTCACCCAGGAATCATTCAGCTTTCACCCAAGATTGACATATTTTTCTAAATGAATCATGTGCAAATCTTGGGTCAAAGTTGCATGAATGTTGGATAAAAGCATTGATAAACAGACCAACAAAAGTACCCATGTAGTTAAAAATTGGGTTGCCCATCCTTACTCAACAGACTTAGGTGGCCTGATATCTGACAGCTTGAACCATAATTGTAGCTAGCTATGTCCATGAGCCTTGGCTTTCGTCAATGTTATGCTATACCAAATGTGTCATTTTCCTATTGAATTGAAGCAGCACGAAAGGCATAGAATTCACAGAACAACTGCTTAGCTCAACACATGTGTATGTAGCAATGTCCAGCTGCAGTTACCAAAAGTGTTATATTTGGCATCTGGAATGTTACCAAACTTGGAAGGTACAGTGCAATGACAACCCGATGAGTCATTGATTTAACACAATAAAAAAGTCATAGCTGTGCTGAGCAGGCTGGCAGATGGATCCGTGGTCCATCCACCATTGCCAGACATATGTAAAACAGGTTGGACCTCACTAAGTTGATGCAAATGATTTTGAGACTTCCATTTTTGTGATCAGTCACCTGTGACTGTCACCTTTTACTCTTTCTAATTGCATGAGCATGATTTTTTTCACTAGCACTATCTTGGGAGGAAGAAATTGTACCTTTGTGGGGTTATTTTTTTAAAATACAGTATTCAGCATGCAATTGTGCTATTTATAAACCCCATTACATCACAGGCACCCACAATTGTAACCCACGGATAGGCTCCCTTTCTTCTCTTTTCTAATTTAGCATCTTCTTGTGAACAATATAAAAAAATCATATGTTGTCTCAAGCAATTTCCTTTCTGTGCCAGGATCTTGGTGATGTGAGATATCAGCACCACCAATATAAAAACTTGACTCGGTACACTATCGCGTCTTTGGGAGAGTGAACTTGATAAGTGGCCATCAAAGATGGGCTCTTGCTGATCAACAGACATATTTTAAGATATCCAATGGCTCGGATAGGAGTTGTGTTTGTATATGGGCCTCTTGAAAGTGCCTATTATTCCTATTATTTCTAATGTCCATAACATGATATGAGTATTTGGGATGGGTGCAAACATTCATAGTTTTCTGATGGACTTCATCATGCAACACAATGCCCAAGAATGAGCAGTGACAGATAACTTGAACTGCCAACATAGGAACAAATGGGAATGGTCATCAAGTGAGAACCTGTAGATACATTTGCAAGAAAAAAAAAAAAAGGTTGCACAATAAAAGTCAATAAAAGCCCCATTTCTCATAGAACATAGGGCATAGAAGGAATCAGTGGTGGAACTACCGCCATAGTGACCCACGTGGTCGCTATAGTGCCCGGGGCACAGGGTGACCCAGCCAGGACCAGGAAAGGGGGTCCCTTAGGGGAAAACTGGACCAGGGGGTGCTGTACCGTTCCCCAGGCAGCACGGAGGTGCTGAGGCTCTCAAGCCTTTGGCCACTGCAGCGGTATTACCTCCAGTCCTTCCACCGTGTACAGTGCGGGAACTCTGGGAGGCGGGGCATCATGCTAGTTCCTGGACTGAGCAGGCTGCTGCAGTGTGAGTAAATAGTGGGGCATAGTGTGGGGTGGCCACGGGGGTAGTTGGGGAAGGGTCACTATCTCTCTCCCCATTCCTCCTTCTCCCTCCTCAGAGCCATGTGGAGCAAGAGCAAGGGGAACCAGTATGAATGTTTTATTTAAATTGCCCTAAATTGCCCTCTCTCTGCATTGCAGAGTCCTGAGTCCAGTGCATAGCAGAGCCCTGAGTCCATTGCATTGCAGAGCCCTGAGCCCATTGAGTCGCAGAGCCCGGAGTCCATTGAGTAGCAGAGCCTTGAGTCCATTGCGTTGCAGAGCCCTGGGTCCATTGCATCACAGAGCCCTAGGTCCGTTGGGTCACAGAGCCCTGAGTCTATTGCGTCGCAAAGCCTAAGTCCATTGCGCCATTGTGTTGCAGAGCCCTGCGTTTATTGCGTCACAGAGCCCTGAGTCCATTGCAGCTACATCACACTAAAAAAAGCACACCATTGTGCTCTTAATGTGACCGCAGTTCTCCTGCCCCCATCCTCATCCATTCCTGACAGCAGACCCCCCATGCTCCAGTACGTGCACTATGGAAAGCCACCAACACCCCCACTCTGGGACGTGCAGTGTATATCCCTCCTAGGGTGCATGTAGTATACACAACCACCAACCTGTTCCCCTCACTCCCTGCTCTGGTGGCTATGCACCACCTTCCCCATACCTGGTGCACTGGAGGCAGGGAGGAAGCAGTGTGTAAGTAGCTGGCCTAGCAAACTTAGCAGCCTAGCATTGGCCCTGCCTTTAGTGCCCTACTTATGGCTGTCCAGCACAGTGAAGGTGATGTAGGTGGATATGGGGGTCTGGGTCGGGAAGTGGGGGGGATGGGGGGGCCGGTAGAATCTTGCCCAGAGCCCAATTAATATTAAAAATGGCCTTGCTGATGCCTGGAAAAAGGCTGCACTCCATACCAGAATACAGGTGTAAAGTGCAGTGCAGAAAAATGCAGACACATGCAACACAAGTCAACGCAACGCACCACTCTGCAGTGTGGAGACCTGAACACTTTGTACACTGTAAACAAAGTAAAAAAAAACACTGATACAGAGAATCATAATGCCCTCTCACTGCTCAGCCAAGAGGAACACTCAGCATGCGTGAACAGGCCCTTATGTTTGTTACATACAGTTTATAATAAATCTGAATGGAATACCTGCACAGACACAGTGGCCGAACTACCGCCGGTGCAGGCGGTGCGGACGCACCAGGGCCTTGGGGCTCTAGGGGGCCCAGCGCTGGATCGGTACCCAGTGGCCAGCGGGCCCCCCATCTCTGCGCCGAGAGTGTCGGATCATCCGTTACTGAGTGTCGGATCATCCGTTACTGATTGTCGGATCATCGGATACTGATGGTTGCCATGGCGATAGAATGCTTAGCCCGAATTCTGCATTGCTGTAAATATTAGGGATGCACCGATATATCGGCCACCCAAAAGATATCAGCCGGAAATGGCACTTTTGGCTAAATGTCAAACGTGCAATTTTTCTGCTGACACAGCAGCGCATCCGTGCTTTCTTTCCTCCCCGCTCTGTGTCCCAGCGGGGAGGAGAGAAAGTGACAGTCGGCCGAGCGCTGCGAGAGGAGAGCGCTGTGTCTGTGTTTTTTTTTTGTGGGGGGGAGCCAAAAAAAATCTTGCACCAGGGCCCTTTGTTCCTTAGCTCCACCACTGCAAAGACAGACACACTCATAGGAGCTTTGTGATCATGTGACCACTTGGAGAAAGATTTAAAAAATATTTTCTATCTGGATTCATTAGAAACTGTACGCGGCAAATATAAGAGCATTGGGGAGGCCATGTTTAAAAGGCAATGTATTTTTAGTCTTTTCTTTGACTTTAATGGAGAACTATGAGGTGAGTGCTTTTCACTCAACTCATAGTT